ATAAGATCGCACTAACATGAACAGAGGAAATGGGTGACATCTAAGAGCACTCACGTGTTGCAGTGAGTTGTAACGAGTTTGGCGTCGACGTGGGTGGCACAGAGCCTGGCATTTCTGGTGCTGAAATTGTGAGAGAAAGCAAGAAAATCAACACTCATGTTAACTCCACACACATGAAGATTCAGAACTTACATATATCAGATATTGTTGAAAATGTCACACCGACGTTTACCGGTTGATTATTCGAATCGAGAAATGATAATGATATATTTGTTGCATTTCCAATTGAATTTAGAATTAATTGATCATACGCTGCTTGACACGTCAATGTTGTACAGTTTATTGGATATACGGCCTGGCATGTGACGATCAATTCTTGATCACACGCTGCATCAGAGCTATAAGAGAAAAGCGTCACCATTCCTATTCAATTGTGCAAATGAATGGACAAACGAAGAACAGATACCGTTTACGACGTTTATGTTGCAATTGTATGCTAATAACAACAATGGTGACCTTATTACCACATAAGGATGTGATCTGAAAACTAACATATAGATGCAACCTTTTGTTCGCGTTTTCTTATTTTACTTACTTGTGCCGCAACTAATATTTTGTTTATCTCAGATTGGGAATTGACTACTATGGAAGCAGCTCTCAGTATGCGTGCGGTATCACGCTTTGATATACTAACATCACCAGCACTGTCACTAACACAATATGTTATATCAAAACTGTTTGTTTCTAAACAAAGAAATCTTTACCTCACTTTGTGAAACCATCCAATTTCAACTGAATTAGATGTAAACGATTCTACGTGTTAACATTTATTTCTCATGCATTTCATCCTACATCGTTTAAATCTCTTTTAAGATCAACTAGCGTCGCATAAGATCGCACTAACATGAACAGAGGAAATGGGTGACATCTAAGAGCACTCACGTGTTGCAGTGAGTTGTAACGAGTTTGGCGTCGACGTGGGTGGCACAGAGCCTGGCATTTCTGGTGCTGAAATGTTGAAGGAAACGTTGAAGTTTTACACGTGTTTAGTTTTATCAGTTTTGTTTTCGATTCGGGATCTGGGAAGGTGGGTTGTATTTGGGAATGGTGTCTGGGTTATATTTGTTTTTTTTGTGGGTTTTGGATAGGTGTTATTATTCTTACGATTTTGGCCGGTTCGTTTGATGGTGAGTGTGATCCATCGAGTGACGCCGTCGATGCAGTATAATTTGATTTGCAATGGTGTTGAAGTGGATAACTTGTTTTTTATCGATTGCGTGTAGGTTGTGAAACAGTCCTGTGTGATGCAGTCATTTGGGAGGATGAAAGTTACACCGAGCATCAGTGTTTGTGCGTCAGTCGTTCGACGTTTGCGAGATGATCTGAAAGGTTTTGGTTAGGTTCTAGTTAATCTGTAGGAGATATTGAATATGGGCGGTTAATTTTGTTTAGGACTGTGAAAGGTTTCTCCGGCTTTCTCTCAAAGTAACCTTCTAGTCTGAGGAGGAAAGAACGTTGCTGGTAGTTGTTCACGGTTATTGTGGTAGGTGTGGTTGTGCGACGGTAGAGAAAAGGATGGGAAGTCTGTCTTTCGTTTGTTTGTGTTTTATATGGTAATACATACACTCCGAGGAGGTTTTCATTATCGTTAAACACCGTTACGCTGACGACTTGCACCATGCTGGAAGGTATGTTTAGCTGTTCTGCTATCTAGGAGAGATAGAAGAAAATAACATTCTTTCTTGGAATTATTCTGTTGCTTGTACACGGATTCGCGCAAACTAATCTGGAAACAAAAGTCGTCAGAGACGACTGTGACACAGCGCCTATGATGAACAGCGGTTCTTCCTCTGTTACACAGTGGGCAACCAAGCGGACATTAGGCCAAAAAGTGACATACGTCTTTTTTAAAATGTAAGTAATCCAAAATGTAGCTCTTTAAATTCTCTATCGAATGGTATATAAATGTCTATTTTGAAAATCAAAACTTCACATGAATAAACAGGATACAAAAAACAGGAAGAAACACAAGATCTATACGGAAAATATTGATTTTTCTGTCACGGTATCAAGTAAAATAATTTTAAACTACGTGTTCGGAATCAGTATGTTTTTGGCTCGTATAAATTCGTATAAAATTATATTGATTTCAACATTTGTTTCAATAAGTAAGACCAAAAGATCGTCTAAGTCCGGTAAGATAGTACTCCAGTATAGTCGAAGCGCAATATCACGCAATCGAGCAAAATAATATTGAAATATACCAAAATGTTCGTGAGATCATGCTGTATGTCTAACATTTCCGATTTTTTCCCCTAAAGCTTCTAGGTCGAGCTATGGATTTTCCAAAAACCTTAACGATTTTCGGGTATTTCGAAATTTTCTCCGTGAGAAAAAGACATTTTGTCAAATATAAAACCTGATTCGGAATTAGCGTGAAAAATTGCATCGAATGATATATAGAAAAGAGATCTGGAGGCCTACAAATAATTGTTTTATAGGTTTCCGAGTACGGCTGATTCAATGGACTTATTTAAAAAATTGTAAACTGGTTTTGCAAAGGTTTTCTATAGACCGGATCTCTGGAAAACCCTTAAAACATGAATTTTGAACTTTGTCAGTGACTCCATTAGAAAGAGCACACTCGAAAACCTACAAAAACATATCTGAGAGATCTTTCCAGCGCTTTAAAATCCAATGTCCACATGCCTAGGCAAAATTGCCCACTGTGTGTTAGCGACTTGTCATTTTCTTTTTCTCTAACTTTTTTCAAAATACTGGAAAGGTTTTCTATGTTAAAAAGAGTTCTGGAAGGAACATGAGGACTCAAACTACCCATCGGTCAGTAGAAAAGAAAGAGTGATCAATCAGTCTCTTTCCAGCTAACATACCTGATCTTGGAAAACTGGATAGTTCACGCTCGGATAATCACCCACCGGAAATATGATATCGTTTGAAAGTTCATACTCTATGGTGAACGAACTTTCAATTCCTTGAAAATAAAATTTTGTGTTTTCAGTAATAAAGAAACAATGAGGGTCAGAATAGAGCCTTATTGCACTAATATCATGCACAGGAAAGTACGTCATACAGTCAAAAATTGATCAATCTTTTTATAATGCGTCGAACAGAACATTCAAAGTCACCTAAAAATCCAAATTTTTGCACCTTGGAAACTCAAGATGACAGATACACAATTTTTCGCGAAAGAGCTCTGAAAATGCTGTGCAAAATCATGGTTTCTCGTATCTGCTTAAATTTTTCTCCATTCTCTAACGAGGGAACCTCTTAAGGTTATAAATCGCTTTTGAACTCGGACTACTTGTATCTTGTAGATCTCAGTGAGTACTGAAATATCCTAAGATGGTTCATCGCCACGGTGTTTGTTGCTGAGATATTGAATTTTTAGTCAGTTTTTGCCTAAAGAGCTTGGATTTCGAGCAAAATCCGACTTTCGCATTTTGACTTGAAACTTGCCACAATGGTAGCCCATGGTCATACTAGTACGACGCGAAAAAATTCGATCATAATGAATCATCCTGAGTTGACATATTGACACTCGAATATTTCACCTGAAGGTGAGGATGAGGGTCAGATCTTCGAGTCTCAATATTTATACTTCGACTTGCTGCTGCACCATTTTGTGACGCTGTGCAGGCAAGAAAACATGCAAATAATTAAGATTATTTCAAACAGTGGGAAAATGTAATGGCTTTGACACAAACGCAGACACACAATCTTATCCCCGAACTTCCTGATTCTATACTACTTCATGAAACAGGCTTTTGATAAAAACTACCTTTCGAACTCACTCTCACGCTGCTTCTCCCCTCCCTCCGCGTCCGNTGTCTGGTTCTTCGAATAAACGCGCTATGTAGTGCGATCAGCTCAAGAAAATATTTGCTACTCACCTATGTTATCACCTACTGTTACACTAGTTGCTCCGCTTACATCAGGTTTCGATGTTTGTGTGACTTCGACGTTGCTTCGACTTGCTGCTGCACCATTTTGTGACGCTGTGCAGGCAAGAAAACATGCAAATAATTAAGATTATTTCAAACAGTGGGAAAATGTAATGGCTTTGACACAAACGCAGACACACAATCTTATCCCCGAACTTCCTGATTCTATACTACTTCATGAAACAGGCTTTTGATAAAAACTACCTTTCGAACTCACTCTCACGCTGCTTCTCCCCTCCCTCCGCGTCCGCACATCCACAATTAACGTTGCAGGTGTGTGTGTGTGCGGGAAAAATGCCTGAATTTCTATCAAGAGAGGGTCGTGTGCGTACGATAAAGAAGAGAAATATTAGAATTACTCGAAATAACGACGATCAATTACTAGAATAACAACAAACAATTTATCTTAACGTCGGTTAACTCTTATGTAGCGATTTTTATATAAAGAAACAGAGTGAAAAACAAAAACTTTTGATGGAGATCTCTCAAAATGAAGGCACTAGTTTCACCATGTTTTACGCGGTATTGTCTTCGGGTACATAATGCTTTAATTCTGTCTTAGAAAAGTTAAAAAGCTGAAAACGGCAAAAACTTCGAATATAAGAGTGATCTTCACACCACTATCAGAACTCTATATTCTGATCCTCAGCTTGCTATATGTACTAACAGGAGAAGGCTCGATGTGCCGCAACTGCAACCTTAGCATAGTGTGGAACAAGTGCTTGTCAAGTGAAAAATCAAGTACTTACACGCTGGGCAAGTACTTACAATTAATTTACTTCTGGACAAAAGACAAGTATCGACTTCATTACGCAAGCGGAGTACTTGGGCACAAATACGTTCTCTACGGTCACCGTTTATGCAACCGAAAGACTGAAATGCCACTTAGTTCGAGCTTCCACAAGCAGTGGTTTCTTCCGCAGATGAAACGAAATTGCGCACAAAGAAGAACTGCTGCTAGAAGCGAGACCCATTTATCAGTTTAGTGAGTGAAGCGGAATGATGAGAGGAAATAGCCCTAGGGATCGCTGGAAGAAGAACAGAATGTCCACAGTACTATTACTAAATTTCTATACAAACCTTTTGTGATACTTGTAGTAGATTGACTTAATTGGTTGGGCTCTGATATTGTATCTGCTCCACCCTCATTTGAACTCAGTGTAGTACTTGCAGCATTGTCTGGTTCTTCGAATAAACGCGCTATGTAGTGCGATCAGCTCAAGAAAATATTTGCTACTCACCTATGTTATCACCTACTGTTACACTAGTTGCTCCGCTTACATCAGGTTTCGATGTTTGTGTGGCTTCGTCATTGCTTTGACTTGCTGCTGCTGGGTTTTGTGTCAGGGTCGAAGCGGTTTGGATAGCTTAGAATATGTAGGCAGTCTAGGTGAATGTGTGGTGTTGTTTTTGGCCTGATATACCTATTTCTGTGATGTTGTTAGGTTTCAGCTGCGCAGTTCGGGTGATCCCATCGGGACATAGCAACTGGACGGAAATTAGCTGTGAATCAGTGAATATCTGTGTTGTGTTGGCTATGTATTCGGCTTCACAGGAGTCTGTCGAGCAGTTTTGGTCTTGTTGAAGAAGGAGGTCTGTGTGCAGAATGGTGGGATGTGAAGATATAAGGGAGAAGTTTTGTGTGCTGACAATTTTCAGTGTATGGCAATAGCGATCGGCGCGATTGGGGAAGTGCGATAGTAATATTGCCAAGTAAGGTTTGAAATTCGAGTTTTTGGTTCGATGTCAGCCTGCCGGAGACAAGTGGGATATTTAGTGCTGTTTGATGTAGTGGAAATAATGTCGACCTACCTCTTCAACCGAACAATGCTGCGTTTTCGACGTTTTTTTCCATTATATGATACTTCTAAGCTTAAAATCTGCACTTTACTTTCAGGGACGTGCAGCAGTTGCGCTATCTGGAATACACATGAATAAAATATGCAGTTAGTAGGCGGCACCTAAAGTTCGCTTGAGAATAATGAGTCACTATTCACAAGTGCTTCATGGCACCGTGGACCTTCTTAGAGCTTAAATAATCTTCACTGAGATATATCCCTCCCTGCAAAAAAAAGCCGTTTTTGGTCATACCTGCTTTTGTATTACAGGATAATTTTGAGATGGGTAAATACCTTGTGGAAAAACTATAGTGCTCAAAATTCGATATTCGACAGTAAACAACACATAAGTTTGAATTGCTTCAAAACAAAAAGAATGTCTTCTAGAACAATACATTCGGGAGAATCAGGGTAACTCCTATTTTCGCGTAAGCAGCAATCGACAATTCGCAGCCGACTACGATACAATCCAGCATATAACGCCTTAAAACTGCAGTGTTTCAAATGTCGAACCCAAGACATGTGCAAGTGGGTTTTCTAGTTAACCATGGTTCTTCCGGACACATCGAACGAAGCTAAATAGTTTTTTGGAAAAATTGAATGATATCAAAGTTATTGTGAATTAGCTGTTACCTCTGCAATATTTTGTACTACAGTTTTAATTTCAATTTATTTTAACATTGAAAAAGCAACATTCAAAAATAGCTGAATTGAATTGAATTGAAGTTTTATTTTACACAAAGGTAGGATATCACAAAAAAGCACCAAAAGGACTTGTGGCATCCGGAGACACCTCATGATAACCTAAACTCTAAAACTTTTCTAAGCGCACCATTCGAAGGAACTCCAAAGCTTAAACAAACGATGGTGAAACTTTGATTCTGATGAAAATAGTTCTCTGCGAAACACTTATTTCCTTAAATTCTAGTCAAACATATTTCAGAGGTAACAGCTGATTCATAATAATTTTGACACCATTCAATTTTTCAAAAAAAGCTATTTAGGCTCCTACGGCGGTTCCGAAAATACCATAATTTCGTAGAAAACTCACTTGCATATGTCTTGGGTTCGGCATTTGAAAGAGCACAGGATTAAAGCCTTATATGCCGGATTCGTCCACTTCGGTCCAGTAGTTATAGACATTGTTCTCTCATGTTACACGTCTATTATCTTCAATAGAACAAATACCAATTCGTTCCGCTTCTTTCGTACGAGGTATTCGGTTCTACTTCTGATCTTACATGAATTGGCCAAGATCGACAAATTAGTGGAGGAATGAGCATTTGGCGAAACATGCGTCTTCGGCAAATAAATTGGAATCAATGCGACAATAGGTATGCATATAATTAACAATCCTAAACACACGAAACATGCACAAGCTGTGAACGGAACGGCTCGAAACCATTTTGAATGACTAGAAGAAGAAATAAAACAAATGTGGACGAGACAGCAGTAACCCTTCTTACCGTCGAACAGGCGTTTCAATAAGTGCTTCGGTCTGACTCCACATTTCTAAACACACAGAATGTGCAGTTTTCTGATGTACAAAAAGGGGACTGAGGCATAGATAAGCTCATGCAATGAACATATTTGTATTGCACTTTCATCTGAGTGATTGTGATTAGTCTACGAACAAGAAAGTAGTTAGTCACGGAATGAATTCCACTATAAGTTTAACCAATATTCCTACGGATGCAGAATTCTACCAGGAGGAAACGTCAAAACCGATATCTCTTTTGTAAAAGACCCTTACACATGATCTGTTTATTTCATTGTTTTGACACCCTTGTTCTGACACCTCTTCGCCGTCTTTCCGGTATTAAAGTATAACGAGAAACACATGTGTTCGTTTTACAGCGTTACATGCATTTGGAATAAAACCTAACAAACAATACACAACTAACCTTGAACTGAATCAAATAAAATTCACTGTTCGAATCAAAGTTGATTTTATAAACAGTTAATAATAGGATAACAACGTTGTAGCTTCGCTCAGTTTTACCATGGATGATTGCGTTTACGCCCATGTTTATACATTATGTCGCATAGAAGAAAAGTACGTTAATCTGCCTTTTAACAGATAAAAGCAAAAGCTACACCGAGACTGTTCGGGTAACGTCATTTTATGTTCTATTACCAACATTGATAAACCTGACCTTAAAAATCATAACTTACACATAACACACACCTGTCAGAACTCCACATAATAGCTGCGCATACATCAAACGTGGATCGTAGTTCACTAATTTCCATAGCTGTGTAATGGTGAAATTTAATCCTCAACGCAGCCAAAATTCATCAATCATAAACTAGACTAATTCACTACCACAGTCCCCAGAAGTTTGCGAAATATTTTGAGAATTTTGCCAAGGAAAGCAGAACTTTGCGAAATATAACAGAAGTTTGCAAGAATATTCTTAGAACTGTCATAGATTTGGCAGAATTTTGCCAAAACCACCGGAATTTTGCGAAATCTTATTAGAGTTTTGCGAAATATTTTCAGAATTTTGCCAATAAAGGAGAATTTTGTGGAATATAACAGAATTTTGCAAGAATATTCTTAGAACCGTCACAGATTTGGCAGAATTTTCCCAAAACCAGCAGAATTTTACGAAATCTTATCAGAATTTTGCGAAATATTTGCTGAATTTTGCCAAGCAAAGCAGAATTTTGTGAAATACAACAGAACAGGGTTTTGCGAGGGAAAACAATAGGACTAACAAAAATGACTGTATACAGATAATATATACTAACACAAAAGAAAAAGATGGAAATCTATGCCACGTTACAAAGAGAGAGAAAATATATCTATCGTTCTATCTGTCTGTTTGTATATAAAAAATCAGAGAAAAACAATGGACTATGGTCTAACTAAACATACAAATAAAGAACTAAATGCCTAGACTGTGAATGAGAAAACAAGGGAGAAGTATTAAAAAGAGAAATGATCACGTGTACTGGTATGTGAATGAAAAAGAAGACGAACTGTCTAGGTTCGTAACACCCTTTCCCTCCGAAAAAGGATGTAACATCCATCCGAAAATGTAACATCAAAGTGAAGTGAGAGAGAGATAGATAAATCAATAACAACAATATGGCAGATGTAACAAGAATAACAAGTTAATGAATAAAAACAGATTTTTTTTGTTTGTTATTTTTATTTTTTTTTTTTGAAAGATAGTAAAAAAAACAAAAAGTTTGGAATCACAGAAATGTTGGCTCGTATTCAAGATAATATGAGCTCACACACACAGTCACAAAGCACCGGATATCGCAAAAAAATTTTTTTTTTCTTTTGTTAAACCAGATTTACGTGATAATAATTGAAACTATAATATTTGAAATAAATGGAAATAATCTTCCGATAAATGTTGGCGATATTGATCACGATGTGAGGAGCTCTTAAATCCGATAATTAACCGACGTTTATGATTTTCAATTTTGTCTTTCACATGAATAACTCCAAGGTTACGTTGTTTTAAATGACGTTAAACAGCTGGCAACGAATAATTTTTATGTAATGGAACATTTATTGAGTAATGATATCGTCTTTTTCTTCGTCTTATGTCGGTCTTTCGATTGCGCCAATATTTTGACGTACGTTGATTAGCTAATGAAGATGTTGTTGTTGCTGAAATTGTAGGGTGTGATGATGGTGAGATGAGCACGTTAAATGTAGGTTCTGTGGTAGAAGGTAAAGGAGAAGATGATGGTTGTTGTTGTGATGATAACGGAGACGATATTGGTAGTGATGAAGATATTTATTGAGGATTAGATGATGACTCGGATTGATGTTGTTGTTTTTGTTGCTGTGATAATTTTGTAATTGCAGATGATAGACGAGTAACTGCCAAACAATCATTAACAGCATATTTAACCATTTCACGTCTTCTATGCAACTGGATTGACGTATTGACATCTAATTGATCACCATTTAATGATGCATTGATATAAGGTTGTAAATTTTTGTTCAGTCCAGCATTCCAACGACTTAAGGTCCACTGTTTGTCTAAAAAAAGATTGAAAAATTGTGAAATTGCTCTTTGTAGGCTTACCTTGTCAAATGATGAATCATTTGGTGCATGAATTTGGAGAGCTTCGCCATTTGATGCAAATTCCGGATCACTGCCAAAAGGCGAGATCCTTTGTTCATTCCGTAACGCATAATCATTCTGTACATTTGTAACCGGTCGATCAATTTGATGATGTGTAAACATTTGAAATGCA